AATCACTCGAATAACCTTGCTCTTTTTACTTTGAAGCGCTGGTTTTTTTTCTTCTGTGTTTCTTACCACTGGTGGGGGAAAACAACAGAATTTCTCGAAGGACCAAAATGTAAAATTCACAATTGCTGATGTATGGCCTCAACACGCCTTACCACAATTTATAATGGTACACAAAGCAACCTTTAACTATAGACTATAAGGTGCTCGTTTTATTTAAAAACATAAAAGATTCTTTTGTATCTTTTTGCTTTTTATATTTATCTCTGTTCCTTACCTTTGGTAGGGGGAAACAAGAGTCAATTATTTTTCTACCTTTAGCTGCAAGATTAACTTAGCAATGCTTAAAGGAGCTGGCCTTTCTCTGAATCCCTTACCATATAGGGGGAAACTGCAGAGTCGAATCCGGCTCGAAGGACCAAAATGTTCACACTATAAACTAATGCGTACACTTAATGAGTTCAATTCGGGTGTTTGAATCTAACTGACTCGCTGCTGCGAGGGCATCGCCTTTTATTCATTCTTACATAGGTTCTTATCATCTAATTATATAATGCAGCGCTTGTAAGACGCTGCAGTCTGCGTTGGTCAATGCAGCTGAGGTTTATCTCAAATCTATGTTTGAAGCCTATGACCGCGCTAGTCACCTCCCGCGTGATCATATCTCTTGACACTTCGGCAATAGACCACTGCAACCGTACTTATCTGTAGTTGCCACTTATGCTGTCCCGTGACATGTTTATTGCAGCCATTAAATAGAACATATTTATAGATTGTCTACTTATCATGTCTAAACACATGTTTAGACAACAATAGAGAATTCTTTAGTCGAGTTCCCCGAGTATCAGATACCCGTTACTCAGCTAGTGGAAGTGCGAACGAGAAATTTCAACATTTTCTGGAACATCGGCAGAAATTTACAAAATATATTCAAAAATGAAAATATATCACAACATTTTTATTTCAAAAGCCGTGACAGTTTTGTACTGTTTGTGGGACGTTAGAGTGGGTGTCGCAAAAAGTATTTTGGTTAATCTGTATTTAAAAAATTATAAAAAAGTTAAAAAAAAATATCACAACATTTTTCAAAAGTGTGGGCGTGACAGTATTCGGCGGTTTGTGGACGTGGCAACATTTTTTTTGCAAATCTATAAAAATGTACCAGAATTTTTCAAAAATGAAAAAATATAACATTTTTCAAAATTGTGGCTGTAACAGTTTTGGGCGGTTTGTGTGGGTTGGATTGGGCGTGGCAAAAAGTTTTTTGGCCAACTTACAGAAATTTACAAGATATATAAAAAATGAAAAAGTATCACATTTTTCAAAAGTTTGGGCGTGACAGGCGGTTTCGGTTTGCGGGCGGTAGAGTGGGCGTGGCAAAACGATTGTTGTAAATCGATAGACATTTACAAGACTAATAAAAAAATATCAAAACATTTTCCAAGAGTGTGGGGGTGGGAGGTAGAATGGTCGTGGCAACATTTGGAAACAAACTTGCGCTGCGCCCATGTCTCTGGAAGCTGCATGCTTAATATCAACATTCTAGCTTTTGTTAATCCTGAGATTCATACGGACATACGGACAGACGGAAATGGTCAGATCAATATTGAGCAAAGGATACGCGACCAACTACCATGTATACCAGGTGAAATTTTTATACATTAAAATTAACAGAGACCTAGCCGGAACAACCACACAACATAGAAATAAAGAGAAACTTATAAACGTTGTGGGTTCAGTTTTTAAATATCTATTTGGCACAATTGATGCAAATGATCGAATAAAAATACAAGAGAAACTTAACACAAACGCCCATAACTCAGTAGAATGACATGAACTCAACGACGCTATACGATCGGTAAATGACGGAACGCGAAAAATTAAGAATTATGAAAATGACAACAGCATTATTAACACTCTTTTAATTGAACTCATGCAGGTTACAGAATACATAGAAGATTTGCAAATCTGGCCAGGCTTTCCTGTTTCCAAACTAGTAAACTACGATAAACTAGTGAACGTGAACATCCATTATGTTTGTTTATCCACTTTATTAATGATAATCAATTATTAATAATATCTCACATACCCATTAACTTCTCACTAGTAAATACAATTAAAATAATCCCTTAACCAGACTCCAACGGCTAACAGCTAGATTGCACATTTTTCGGCGGACCCAGGTCGATCTCTTGTGGACTAAATTTGTTTAAAATCGGATATTGTCTCTAGGTAAGGAAGTAATTCAAAATATTATAAAAGAAGATAGAATTCTATAGTCGAGTTCCCCGAATATCAGATACCCTTTACTCAGCTTGTGGAACTGCGAACGAGAAATTTCAACATTTTCTGGAATATCGGTAGAAATTGGGGGAAAAAATAATAAAATGAAAAAAACGTAAAATTTCTTTACGAGTGCGGCCGTGACAGTTTTGAGCTGTTTGTAGACGTGGCAAAGAGTTTTATTAAAACATTTTTCAAAATTGTGGACGTGGCAGTTTTGAGCGGTTTGTGGACGGCAGAGTGGAAGTGGCAAACATTTTTGGCAAATCTATAGAATTTACAAGATATATTTCAAAATGAACAACATTTTTTAAAAGTGAGGGCGTGGCAAAAAGTTTTTGCCCACTTCTACGCCTACAAACAGCCCAAAGCTGTCACGCCCACAATTTTGAAAAATGTGATATTTTTCATTTTATTTTTACAGGTAAATGTTGTAAATTTCTATAGATTGCCAAAAAACGTTTTGCCACGCCCACTCCAGCGCCCACCAACCGCCCAAAACTGTCACCAACCTTCATATCTGCAGACTATATTCAAGCGTTCCCGCTGCATCAAGCCGCCACTGCTCGCGGCCACTATTTTAGTGGTTTTTGGAGTGGACACACTATCCTCCAAGTCCCACCGCCATAGTTGGAGTCAACATCTCGGGCCTCTATTAATAGATCAACCACCAGGAGCACCCCCAGCATGCATAACCTCGTTCATTGCCAGGCATTGTCAGATCAAAAATAAATAAAGTAAGCAAACATCTACAAAATGCCATCGCTGGAGCATCTTAAGGCTCAGCGAACGAGTGCTCGAAAAAACCTTGCGCGTATGAGCAAATCAGTGGAACATAGTTTTAAATTATCTCCATTGGAAGTATCTTGCCGTTTGTCGATTTTGGAATCGTATTTTGAGCTTTTTTTATCCACTCAGGAAGCCATAGAGCAGATGGATCCAGCCGAGGCGCAGCGCTATGCTCGTTTCGAAATATAGGAATTATTTATCAAAGCCAAGATCTGCCTTCAAGAACAGCTTGGACCACAAGCAAATAGCACCAGCATTAATGAATCTTCGATTAATTTTGTGTACACGTCTGCAGTCAAGCTTCTGCGCTTGTCGTTCGATTTCATTCGACGGCAAGCACTGTGATTACCGAACCTGAAACCGCAGACAACTACACAAAAGCTCTGAATCACTTTAGGCATCGCTATGACAACCCAACTCTCGTATTTTTGGACAACATCGTCGCTCTTTGCATGCTGCAAAGTAAATTGACCAGCAGTTGCGTAGGCTAATTAATAATGCATCCGCTTTATACAACTCGTTGCGTTCGTTGGGCACCGAGTCGCAGGTCTGCAAAGCTATGCTTTATATGGACCAGGAGACCAAGAGGAAGTCGAACGTCCTTGTCAATATTTGGAATCGGATAAGAACCCTACTATTGCTTTGGCAAAGATCATTTTGTAGCCAAATGCCCGTCGACGCCGAGACGAAGCACCTGTGCGTTAGCGCATCACTTGCTGCTTCATCGACTTTCAGCTTGATCGGCCGCAACTCCCTTGTCCCAACCCCAAGTTTCGGATATACTTATACGGAAAATCGGACTTATTGTGTCGCCCTGTTCTGGGAAAGAATGTATCTGGAAGCTACAAAATAGGAAGACCGCTTTTAGAGAACATGAATTCAGGTAAATTTCATATCCGAGGGTTTGACTCAAAGCTCAATAGCTCGATAAAGCTCAAGATTCGCAACCACCATATCAAGTCGAGATACAATGAATTCGATTTGCTCCTTGATTCCTCCATTTATATTTTGCTCCAATTCCATCCTGTGGAATCTTCCGCAGGACTCATCTCTTGTCGACGAAAACTTCAACAAATCTCACCGCATTGATTTTCCGTAACCGCACCGACCAAGGGCGTAAAAGTCAAACGTTAACGGTGCGGAAATATCGGGATCGCCGCGGCCTATAACGTAATTTATAGGAGTCAGTGAGTCGGAGTCAGAAGGCCTGGGTAAGGTTTACCAGTAAAGAAGCACCCGTCAAAGAGTCCAAAGAAGGAGAACCAAAAGTGCGAGGACAGTCACCCCGCGGATCAAAATTACATAACCTAGACACTGAATGACAAGGAAGGCTAAGGCTGCAACGTTGAGATCCACACGCTTCAGGAGAAGACGACAAAGACCGTAGTTAGAAATGGATTGTGGAGTCCTTGGTTGGTATCCTGTAACAGGAACGGTCATAACAGACTTGCCCTTCCGGTTGGAAGAGCTCTGATTCAACCTACGGACGATTCACTACGGAGTGCTTAGCCGGAAATATCTCTTGAGTAAAGCAGAAACCCAGCGGAAACCCAGTCTGCAGTCTTCAGAACGTTGCCACGCTCACTAACCACACGAAACTGCTTCAATTTGCCAAAAAAATGGCATTTTTTGTTTATTTTTTGTCGATATGCCGCAAATTTTGAACACGCACACAAGCCAACCAAATCTGTCTCGCCACAAGCTTTTGAAGATTTTTTGATTTTAACATTTTCCTTGCCAATTTCAATAGAAATGCTAAAACATTTTTTTTAAGTTTCTCCCTCACCCTCCTACTACCTGAGATAGTAAAGTAACTCATCCTTTCATGTGTTTAGAAACTATTCATAACCAAATGTCAAAACACTCGACTTTAGTATTTCTTAATTTTTTTTCCTAATTCAGAATATATCATATTTGTTATCAATTTATAGTGCTTCATGGAAGAGGTTAAGGAACACCCGTACGTCTTGCAATGTGAAGCCGCTAAGCCGCTGATTGTTGACACCTTTAAATTTATGTACGATCTGGACTTTTTGAATCCTCAGGCTGACGAGGTAATGTTAATTATTCTCTCTTCCTACATATGTATATGACACTAATTTTTTTATTTTAATCCAAGCTTACCACGCCACCATTGGCAATGCCAAGGCTACCTCACGAAGTCATCTTTGCGATTGGCGGCTGGAGCGGTGGTACCTCAAAAGGATGCATCGAGACTTATGACACAAGAGCCGATAGATGGGTAACCATTAATGCAGAGGATCCTGCTGGTCCGCGCGCGTATCATGGAACCGCAGTGCTGGGTTTCAAAATATTTTCGATTGGCGGATATGATGGCGTAGAGTATTTCAACACATGCCGCGTTTTTGATGCTGTAAAAAAAAAATGGAACGAAATCGCGCCAATGCATTGCAGGCGCTGCTACGTAAGTGTAACAGAACTAAATGGCATGATATATGCTATCGGCGGCTACGACGGCCATAACCGCTTGAACACCGTGGAGCGGTATAATCCAAGGACCAACCAATGGTCCGTTATCCCGCCAATGAACATGCAACGTTCTGATGCCAGCGCCTGCACTTTGCAAGAACGCATCTATGCCACAGGGGGATTCAACGGCCAGGAATGCCTAGATAGCGCCGAGTATTATGATCCCGTAACCAACACTTGGACTAGAATACCTAACATGAATCATCGTCGGTCTGGAGTGAGCTGCGTGGCTTTTAGGAACCAGCTTTACGTTATCGGCGGCTTTAATGGTACAGCGCGTCTTTCTACCGGAGAACGCTTTGATCCGGTCACTCAGACTTGGCACTTCATCCATGAAATGAACCACTCGCGCAGCAACTTTGGGCTTGAGATTATAGACGATATGATCTTTGCTATCGGCGGCTTTAACGGCGTCTCCACGATCTCTCATACGGAATGCTATGTAGCTGAAACAGACGAATGGATGGAAGCCACAGATATGAATATTGTTCGCTCCGCCTTGTCTGCCAATAACATAGCTGGGCTCCCAAACAAGCGAGACTACATACACAAAGAGCGGGATCGTCTAATGGAAGAGCGGCGTCAGCGTCTTATGGCAACCGCCATGGCTCGGGAGAACATAGGACATGGCAATGAATCGCAGATGTTAGTGGAAAGAAATGATACAGTTATGGATGACTACGAAAGTCCTGATGAAGAAGACGAAGCTGATGAGCAACAGCATACAGCACACCTAAGCCGGATTATACCACCCTCCGTAGGGTTGCCAAACGGTGCTGAAACGGCAACAGTTCAACCTCAATTGGTGTCCCCTGCTCAACTTAATAGAGTAATGGAGGATCGCGGTCTGGAAAACAATAGACGCATTCATGTGCAACTGCGAAACCAACGCCATGGCTCGCACCATGAAATTCGTCGTCGTACTTAGCAATTGGCATCGACATATTGCTCGGATACCAAAAAAATACATTCTCTTAAAAAGAGTGCAGATAAAGCGTTAGCGTGTGGCAAGATTTCTTCAATCTTAGCCCACGTCCGTTAAACTAATTTTTGGAAACTTTTACACAAAGAAAAACACAAGGGACAATTGTCAATATACCAAATTAAGACTATAAAACTCGGCATTTTTAATTAAAAATTAAATTAACAAGAAATTAGATAGCCCAATAGATCTAGCTTACATCAAAATTGAATGCAATAAATAAAATATTATATATCTAAATATATATCATAAATTGAGAATATATCTTATATATATTGGTAGTGCTTTACCAATTTGCAGGAATCCAGAATACACAACTAAACATTTTATTTTTTCTTTGTCTTGAACGTTTACCTTCTTACTTATTGGCAAATAGGTCAGTGCTTTTATTTATCTGACAGCGAAACAAAAATGGTCCGTACAAAACAAAAAGGAACAAGAGAGAATGCTATAGTCGAGTTCCCCGACTATCAGATACCCGTTACTCAGCTAGTGGAAGTTCCAACGAGAAATTTCAACATTTTCTGGAATATGGGTGGAAAAAATTAATAAAATAAAAAAAACTTAAAATTATTTTAAAAGTGTGGGCGTTAAAGTTTTGCGCGGATTGGGGCGTTCGAGTGGGCGCGGCTTTTTGACCTCAAAACTGATGCGTCTAGATACGGATTAAGAGCAGTACTGTACAAAGCGGCTGCCCGATAACAATGAACATTGCGAAGTAACGAGGTAAATTTTGCCACAAATGAGAGTGAGCTTTTCGCCATTGTATGGACACTCAAAAACCTCAGAAATTACTATCGGAACCAGATTATTCCGAAAAGAAATAATTCTTCCCAACAAATAACGTAATATAATTAATTAATCGTCACATAATTAATTTTTCCGATCGCAGCACATTAATTCAAGGCAATAAAGATGCAGTAATCGGCAAACGTAGTCAACGCAATTCAATGCGAGCTACGTTAATATTGGCTTTCATCCTACAAAGACTAGTTGAGGCATTCACTTCTACCAACCTTAGATATTGCAAGAACTTGGTTACAGATGTTGTGAACCCAACGAAGCATAGGGAAATTACGACAGCTGAACATAATCGCTCACACTGAGCAGCTCAAGAAAATGCGAAACAGATACTTGGGGACTATTTTTTTACTTTTAAAAATAGGTCGCTTAACGTCGGAAATACCAGCAAACTGTAAAACTTTTGGATTGAGTAAACAAGATCGGCACCCAAAAAAACAGTAAATAGGGAAAATTACTATACCATCGTATGTCGGAGAAATGTTGCATTTAGATGTTTATTTCACTAAAGAAAAGATTTTTTAACGTGCATCGACAAATTTTCCAAGTACGTAGTAGTACAGCCTATACGGTATTGCGCTCCACCTTTGCAGCTATTGAACATGATTCCCAAAATATAATGATTTACTCGACAACGAGAAATCCTCGAATTCGAAAAACAACAAATCAATGCTCAGCAATAGTATTGGTATTGAGGTTACAAACGCTCCACCCTTTCATAGCTCCTCTAATGGATAGATCAAGCGGTTCAACGGCACCCTTGGGGATATAGCAATCACTTTTAAATTCTCCTCCACAGGTAGAGGAGAATGTCGAAAATATTCTCCTTGCAAACATAAAGTACAGCAGATCAATCCATTCGGTGACAAAAATACCGCATTAAGGAAAGAATCGCATCGGCTCAGCAAAAGGCACTTGAGCAAATTAATTAAAATAGGGTAAATTAAAATAAGTCGTATTTAATAAGAGATCAGGAAATAAACTATCACCCCTATTTACAGAAACTATAAGGAAGCAGTGCTAGGTACGACGGTTCTTATTAAAAGCAGGGCTTTGGACATTTGAAAATTCATGACAATTATTTTTAACAAATCATTTCTTTTTAGGCTAAAATATTTTTTCACTTTAACAATAGCAAACATGACCTTGACCAAAGCGACATTGAGGGTCAACGACTACTCCCACGCGGAGTACATAGCTGTAGTCGACGGAGACGTAACAATCTGCGACTCGTACTTTTACATGGGATACACTACGAACTTGACATCTTTCGAAACTTACATCGACGAGACATTGAAATTGATAGATAAACTACCCAAGGACCACATGAAAAGGTGCTGAAAACTGACGTACAACACATAGCCACCTTAATAGCTTCTTTGACGTTCCTCACCGACAAGCACGTAGCATTAACATGATGGGTAGTGCCCTTAAGGCAATTGCAGGAAGCCAGATTTTTATGACTGGGAACAAATAAAATTAAAACAAAGTCAGATTCCGAGAGCAAGATTCCGAAAGATAGAAATCAACAGTAAATTCCAAGCAAGACTTAATGCCGTGTCAAGGGCCCCTAACGCAATTTTGAAACTGACTGAGACTGAGGTCAAACATTTTTATGCAACAGTTTTGGCAAGGAGTGGAATGATAATTACAAACCTTGAGGACTTAATCCTCACTGTTACGTTTGCAAAAATAAATGTATTCAGCCCCCTTATACTAGACAGCATCGACATAAAAGAATCACAAAATGAACAGCTCACCAAAAAAACTGACCTTTTAGAAATCTTTCATATAAAAGCTTTTTGAAATTCTGAATTATCTGATCAAATATCCCAAACCTTTCTAAATCTGTAAAAAATAGATATCCTTCCTGTTCAGCATAATGATATAATATTAGATCAAGAAGAAGAAAATACGATGGCCGACTGTGGAATATAGACCTTCGCTGTACGTGATTGCGCTACCACTGTAAGCACTACTTTCTGCAGAAGGCTATAAAACACATCATATGGCTGCTTGACACTTATCGCCTTACTACGACTATTCATCAACGCCTGGAAATTATACCAGCGTAGAATAAGAACGTAGAAACCCGAGGACGCGTTTCAAACTAGCAGGGAAAGAGTTAACACGCACGTGAGTTTGCTGACAACGCTGAAATCTGAAACTTGCACGCGGAAGCAGCCTGATCGCCCGCTGAACTCGCCGAATCAGCATACAGCCAGTATTTGTGAGGGCGGTTTTAAAGCATTTTCAAATAGTCCAAATCTCGAGGGCTTATTTATCATTTATATCGATAACTAGTGGAGTTCCAGTTAATTAATCTGGCAGCCCTACCATTTTTGTCTAGGATAAATAATTAAAATTTCCTAACGCGAGATCACCCGAAATGCAATTCTCCTGTTGTTAGAAGCTTTATTCTCGGCGTCACTTCGGCCTCTTGTTATACTGATCTGAAAGAAGAAACAAGTGAAACGTAGTTCTTGCGAAATAAAATAAAACCGCATGTTAATCAAAGTCACTTGCAAATCGTCAACACAACATCATCTGCCTAAGAACAACAGGCGCAACAACGAACCACCCTGGCCGCATTGCACGTGCGGATCTTTACGGACTCCGCATTCCACGTGCGTGATAATCGCATTACAGACGCCGTATTTCACGTGCGGATCATCGCATTACGGGCTCCGCATTCCACGTGCGGATCGATCTGCGGATTCCGCTAACCACTTGCCGTAATCCGAACCCGGCCAATCCTTAATCACGCCTTCTTAGTATTATTTCAGGAAGATTTTGTTGTACCATTATCCTGAATCCTGATGCACCTGCCGTCACACATTTCATTGCGAGTGGATGCTTAACAATGATAATTGTCCCAACTTTCGTAGAACCTGTAGGTCAACAGGTTGCAGACGAGCTCAACAGGTTAACCACGACCAATAGCAGGAGATTAGCGCACCAGTCGACAATCCTGTCAATTCCGGTTATTGCTAACAGCGCCGCGGTCACGATTGCGTGCGCTGGACTCAGCACCCGAAGTCACAATGCGATAATTTGGGTTCCTCCAATGCTAGATCAGGACCCCAGAACGCATTTATAGGAAAAGTCCGTCAAACGCAACCCAGCGCACCCAGACCGCTGCAATCTCTCGTCGGGTCTCGCGGCTGCTTAAAGCTTAAACTTTGCTGTTACTGCTGAATGCTTTGTTCACAAATACTATTTGTCTACAATAATTGCACATTAAAGCCAAATAACGGAAGCTCCGCTGATTCTTCTTTGCGCTCATCTTCCCGCTTGAAACGAATTTGATGTTGTTGGCTGATAAAAATTCTGGAAACGTTACCGCCGATGCAAACAGGGTGACATTTCTGACCATTAGCAGATTCGTTATCAAGTTCTGCGTTAACTTCATTTGACGATTTGAGATTGGAGCTGATCAATGAGCTGCAACAAACGTTTCGGAAAATTCTGTGCGAGCTTGAAGAGCTTGATTTGGATCAAATTGAAAGCGATTGAGTGAGAAATTTGATGATGTTCTCATAACTCTTAAGTCCTCAGTTCGTTGGGAGATTTCAAAGCGCGCCTCACAGATCCACGCACACTCAACATTTGCTGACGGCATTTCTCCGTGCGATTGTGGCCATCAGAAACGTTCATTCCGGAATAGGGCACCGTCGCTGCCCGCTCTTGAGCTACCAAAATTCGCTGGAGGCTATGCTAACTGGCTGGATTTTTATTCTATTTTTACGACGATAATAGAAAGCCATCCTGACCTCACAAACATAAAAAAGCTGCAGCATTTATGATCCTGTTTGAGTGATTTCCACGGTGGTGGAAAGCGTTTGCTCACTGGAAATTTCGGAGGGCTACTATGCTATAGCTTTGGTTACAAAACAGATTTTCTAATCGACGTTTAGTTTTTCAGGCGCATGTCACTGAGATTCTGGGGCTAAGGGCAGTGCAGAGTGGTTCCGTTTCAATGCTTCATGAGCTGTCGGATAAATTCAACGCCCATATTCGCGCTCTAAACGGATTGGGTACAACGGAACAAATTTCTGGATGCATTATAGTCCAAGTACTGGTCCAAAAGCTGGATCCGGCGAGTCAGGCCAAATGGGAGAAGCATTTGTAGGACCCCGGTCTGCGGAATTTAATTCCAACGTAGAAATCCAGCCAGGTGGGATCGTACATCGTACATCTAATATGCGTGGGGCAGCCTTTCGTGTCACAACTCTTAACCTTCTGACATGTGCTTTTTGTAATGCTTCGGGGTTCTCAATTCAGTATTGCCAGAGCTTTAAGAACCTAAATCCAGCAAGTCGGTTTCGAGAAGCAAAAGGCTGACTCTTCGTACCTTAAGAGTGGCCATGAATTGAGGCAGTGCAACTCCGGCCATTGCCGCTCCTGCAGATCTAAGCACCAT